GGCATTGCAACCAGGCTCTTCTTTCCAAACGTGCTTAAGAAAGCAAGCAAGGTCTTCATCATCTGCACCAACGATAGCACAACTTTCCCTACCGCGTTGGAATAACATGCACGCATAGTATTACGCAAATTTTCCTGCAACATTGGAATAACATGCAGGGTTATTTAATCTGACAAAATTCCCCGTCGAGCCGGAACAACGCTCACGGATATTTAATTTTAGCATTTTGAAATTATGCCTCAATGAGTGATGTTGATAACAACATAGAGAGAAGATTGTGAGGCGATTAAAAACAAAATTTTCTTTCCTTTTTTGAATTTCCTCTCTTATATTAAATATAAATATTTTCTTTTATTTTAAATTGTTTTATTTTGCTCTCTATATTTTTTCTAATATATACAATATTACAGTATATAAATTTATATATACAGAGAGAAAGAGAGTGGGAAATAGCAAAAGAAACTTAGAGAGCAAGCTCTCTATTTAGAGAGAGAATGTGAGGAGAGAGGGAAGAGAGAGAGAGAAATGAGAGGGAGAATGGAAGCTCCCTATTTAAACAGAGGGGGAGTGGAAAAGATAACAAGGATGAAAACTCTCTCTTTGTTTCGAACGAAGAGAACATAGAGAGAGGAAGTTAGCTCTCTATTTAAAGAGATAAAGTGATGTAGAACATAAATGCAAAAATGATTGGATAAGAAATTTGCACGTTTCAAATTTATAGAGCAATAATAAGCAAAACTTTTGATGAGTTTAAACGATAAAACAAAAGAATAAGGTGATAAAATAAGCTTAGGCCAAATCACATGTGTAGAAGTTAAGATCATAAAATAATCAATTAATCTAACGTTGCATACATGGTAGGTTTTCAACAAAATCCCTATGCTAACAATCAGATTAGTTACTATGCAAGGATCCCCTCATTCAACACTCTCTAGCTTATTAAGTTTTAGCGGAGGGTAGTTGGTATGATCTCCATGATTCCATTAATAACTACAATTACAAAGTGAACTAAGAAGGCAAGCGAGTAGAGGAAGAGTGTCACCCAAAGAATGAAATCAAACGAAGTCCGGTGGTGGTTGATGGCTTGAGAGGATGTAGACGGTGCTTGGTAGCTCCTGGGATGGCTTTGACAGCAATGAATCCATGCTCGAACTGTTGGACAGCAAGTAGCGAACCTGTGACAGCAATTTTCACAGGTTGAATGGGGGGGGGGTTGAAGAGGAAAGAAAAGGGGGAGGGGCGGCGGCTTCGAAGAGAGGGAGAGCTTTTGGAGGAAATTTAATGAGGGTTTCCTAGATTGAATTAATTAGGTTATGAGGGATGGATGACTCAGCTCTCCTTTTTAATTCAAATTTGAATTTTGAATTGGAGAGTTAAAACTTTCTAAATATAGATTATCCCAAATAGGAAAGATTTCAATTCTGAAATTTGATTTCAAAATTTGAATTGTTTTCCCTCTCAATCTCATTAACCCAAGTTTGGAAAGAAGTAAAGCCAAGGGGAGAGGGGTGAGTCGGCGGCTAGGTTAGGGCTTGGGTGGTTGGTGGTTTGGGCGAGGGGGATGGCTAACCGAATGGGAAGGAAGGTGGGGGAAGAGGTTAACCGTGAGGTAGGGAGGTGGGTTTGGCAGTCCTTGTGGCCGGCGGTGGGATGGGTTTATGAGGGAGGGTTGGCGGCTTGAGTGGGGGAGGAGGGAGGTGCGACCGAACTAGGGGCCCCAGCTGTAGAGAGGAAGGGAGGTGGAGAAAGGGAAGAAAGATAGGGAGAAAAGCCACGAACCCGAACTCTTCCAAGGTTGGTGGTTGATCCGCTTTCCCTCTCCCAGGGACTTCACTCCAAGCTCTCAAACTCTCACCCAAAAAAAAATTGCAGGAAATTTCATCATCAAATCTTCATTCATTCATTCATTCCTCCATCATAAGAGGGAAAATAAGGCTATAAATAGGCCCTCATACAAGAACAAAACAAAAGACCAAATTACCCCCTTGGGGTTACATGCATCTAGTCCCTCAAGTGAGGGTAAAAGTGGAAAAGGACACTAATAATAAAATACGATATATCAATCAAAATTAAAGAGATGCGATCGTAGCCGTAGATTATCGTCCTCGTCGCTAATACACTTTCCATGATCTGATATCCGCATCATAAAGGTTGAGAGAGATTTAGGGAGAGAGATGATGAGAGAAGTTGAGAGAAAGAGAGAGATTGCGCTAGGACTTCTCTCAATATAGAGAGAATGGCAAGGGGAGGCAAAGTTTGGTTGGGCACAGACAGGTAGGTGGTGCTAGGGGGTCTCAAGTTGTTGGGTTTGTGTGTGTGTGAGAGAGAGAGAGAGTAGGTTGTGGCTTGGATAGGGTTGGGCTACAGTCGCCCGAGAGAGTGGTTGTTGAGGCTAGGCTAGGTGGCAAGGTGGAAAATAAATCAATGGCTTGGAGGGTGCTAAGTCGGCCGATTGGATGTGCGTAGGAGTCAAAAGAGGCTGCAGGCTTGGAGAGAGAGGAGATAGGGATTGTCGCGATAGGAGGGGTTTTGATATAAAGAGGAGGAAGAGAGTTGGTGTATGGTGCACAAGTAGGGAGGTTGTGGTTGCAAGCTTGGGAGAAGGTGTGGCAAATTGGGTGTTTAGTTGTTGTGTTCGAATACGAGCTAGGGAGATTGGGCGGAGTGAAGATGTAGGCAATTCAGTAGAGCTAGTGTTGGGATTAATTAAAGGTGCAAGCATCGAAAGTAGAGAGTGTACAAATAGAGAGATGAGCTTATGGGTTTATACCTTTTTTATTTAGTATAATGACAAGACATTGATGAGGACTCGGCGATATATATATATATATATAATTTTAAAAATCTTATAAAAATCTTATAATTTTAATAATAAAAAAAATAATAATTTACAAACTAAAAGATGTGAATAGCCATCTCGTGCAATTTCTTACTTCTCATGTGTCTCGATTAGCATGTTGTCGCCTTGTGCGCTGATAAATTTCATTTTTCGACTCACGACACAAGTAATATGGGTGTCAATATGGGTAATTTTGATGTTTCAAACTCATTGACAAAGTCCGTTTCAAAAATGAAGGACAATCGAGCAACTTTATGCAACGTCTAGTTGGTAATTCATCGTTTTCACCATTGTTTGATTAAGTTGCGCACTTGTGACTCTTCTTTGGTAAATTCGGCATCCTAAACAAGTCAGCATTGTCTGTTTCATTAACGGGCAACGTTTGAGTGATTTTCAACAAGGCATTTCAAACTCGATATGCGTGACAACACGTCAGTTAATCCCAATTCTGACTGCCCTCTCTCGAATTGATTGCAACACATATACAGAGGTCAACAAATAAGCTAAGCATCTAGAGTAAATCATATTTGTTGCAACTGATTGACCTTGGATCTCCAAATGTTTGTGTTGGTCTATGATGCACCGACACTTCTCCTCAAAGAGGCGTGCAGTGTCCGACACCGTGTCCGACACGACACTCGTCCGACACTCCTCCGACACGTGTCGGACACGCCGAAAATGTGTCCGATTAAAAAAATATTAAAAACAAATTGGACACGCGTGTCCGACACACGTATCTTAAATATTTTATAATTTTTTTTAAAATATAATTTCTTATGTTTGGCGAAATTTAAACTAAATTTGTTATTTCCCATCTACAACACCAAATCAACGTCAGCATTTAATACTCATTCATCGAATATTCTCATTTTCATTTCTCTTTGGCAATGAAGGTATTTTCATCTCCTCTCTTTTGCACAATTACAAATCTTTCTCTTATTGAATCAGAGTTGAAAACAGTGATATTCAATGATGATGATATTGAAGGCAAAAAACAAACCTCTAAAGCTAATCATATAGTTGAAGCTTGAATGCTAGATGTTGTAGTAAGTGATTATTTGCTTATATTTTTGTGGTTGTACTAGATATTTTGTACTAAATATTTTATATTATAAGCTAGACAAGTTATCATGTTATTCATTTATTATTTGTTTGTCATTTTTAATATGATATTACATTAATATATATATATATATTATATATATATATATATATATATATATATATAATATATATATATATATATACACACACACACACACACACACACTATATAAAAAAAATGTATTGTCGTGTCCGCGCCGTACCCGTGTCCTATATTTTCAAAAAAAACCGTGTCCCGTGTCGTGTCATGTCGTGTCCGTGTCCCCGTGTCCGTGTCCGTGCATCATAGGTGTTGGTATGTTACACAGAGGGTTCTCCTTTGCAGATCTCCCGAGGTAAAAAAATGTTGATGCAAGAAGTGCATTGAACTTTAACTCTGCCATGATAGCTTGTTGATCCAATGAAGGTTGTCATCGGTACGCTTTGTGCTTGAAGGACTCGATGATGATTATCCATCCTTTGTATATTTGCATTTGGGATATCTTATGTGCTAGCTTTGTGATTTGAAGAACTTTGTGAAGGAGTTTGCTTGAATTGTCTTCATTGACTTGTTGAGGAAAATGAATATACCCTATGTTTAAGCATGAGCCACTTCTTGCAATCCTTTTTATTTAGTTTATCAGTAAGTTCAACTTTTAATTTTTCGTTTTATCTTCTCTATTTCTTTCATGGTCATCCTCCATCATAGCCAAGTATCAAAGGGCCACTAGACCATCCACAAGGGTTGTATGATATAAACATGGTAAATCATTTCACTTTTCCTTATAGAGATCAAAATGTATAAGAATACATTTCACTTTTCCTTACAGCTCTTTCCAATAAAAAAAAAAAGATTTTCAATTAATCACACTAAATACAAAAATACAAAAAGTACATAAATACATGTACACAAGCGCACCAGCTTGATACAAGCCACACAATTAAGATGGTTTCAAAGATTTGCTGGTAAAAGGTCACACAAACTGTAGCGATTAAAGAGAAAATTTTACTATGCTAGGCATTAATGTATGTTATTAAAATGTTAGAAAAATCAGAAAATTAAGAGTAAATATCATACCTCATCTGCAACATCTACTTGTGAAGAGGGGACCACACAATTTTCAAGATACATAGGTTGACAGTTAACCTGTTCCTCAAACCTACACTTTTGAGATGAACCTTCACAACCAAAGTTAGCTCCTACAACACAATGGCTACTTATGGCAGAAACACTTTGTTTCTCCACAATTTTAGAATTTCTGTCTGTTATCCTTTCACCTGCATCCTGCTTCGTTTTTGCTCTTCTTGAAAAAGTAATCAGTTGGGCACAGGAATGCTCCTTCAAAGCTGCATCATTAAATAATACATCATCACTGTTATCAGAATGTAGGCCCATCTTAGCACCAACTTCTGGACATCCAGAACTGTATACTCCTTCAGTGGCTAAATTCACATTCAAATTGATTGGGTTACCCATTAGATCATGGACTGCCAATAGAGCCGTTGATCTCTCTTCAGCACATGTCATGTAGTCTAGTCCAGATTTTCTGCCAGAACCATCCATCTGAACAATATCTTTATTATTACTCCGAGATCTAGTCACTGTAGGGGAGGTTGCCTGCTTGGAAACATTCTCAACTTTTATACTACTCAAAACCCTGCTGGAACGAAGTACCATAGGTCCCATGTCTTTTTGCACAGTTATTTGACTTTGCTTCATTTCTTTGGTTGGTGGAATATGTTCCTGCAGACATTCAGTGAATCCACATCTGCCATTGCAAGTGGAGCATTGACGTTTTCCCTGTGAAAGAAGCATCATAACAAAGAATTGTGCAGAAATCAGTTCAACAGTTAGAACTTCGGAAGACGTTTACATGCCATCAAGCAAAATCTTAATGCTATATCTTTATTTGACTCGTGATGCTTTCAACGCTCAGGAATTTTGGTTAAAGGTATCGAAAGTCTTCAAAAAGAAAATCAAAATTTTTTAAAAAAGCCTGCAGGTAAAATGAAGGCCTGCCTTTTAAATACAAGTTTCTGGTAAATCGTACGTAATGTGAAAATGACGAGATTGATTATTTGACATACGAGAAAAAAAAAAGAAATTCCAAAGATAAAATCACACGAAAACCTTTTCAGCAGAAGGTAGAATGCATTGAAGATGATACATAAAAGAATAGTTATCACAGCAGGTTCTCACTGACATCAGATTCACCACAACCAAAAACAATAAACAGTGAAGATGGTATATAATGGAAGACACTATTTAAGGAGACTATCTACTATTTGAAGATGGTATATAATGAAAGATATAATTTAAGAAGCTTTGTTATAAAAATTTGTTTAGATGTAAGAGTTTGGATAATTGGGATAGATATAGATGGCCCAACGGAATCTAAGAAAGTAATATGTGATTCAAAGAATTTAGTTTTTAATAATTTATATAATATATTAGATAATAATGAGGGCTAAAGATATATATGTATAAGATAGCCGAGCAAAGAAATAGGAGAAGTAAAAATTTAGGTCAAGTGAAGTGCATTAAAGATAAAGATAAAAAAGTATTTTTTTAGAAAAAGATATTCAACATAGTGAATGAGATATTTCGATAAACTTTTCAACAAAAGTTGTGAGAATACAATTGATTTTAGTGACTTAACACCCTAAATGAAAATATAATTTTTTATTTTTATCATCATATTAGTAATGCCGAAGTTAGAGAGGCTATAATATAAATAAAACGTGGAAAATCAATAGGACCTAATGCTTAGGAGATCAAGGAATTTCTTGACTTACTAAACTTTTTAAAATTATTTTGAAGACAAAAAAAGCTAATAGATAAGTGAAGAAAGATTGTGTTGATTCCTAATTAAAAAAAATGTAATGCACAAAAAGTGTGAAAATTATAGATGAATTAAATTAATATGCCATATATTAAAAGTATGGGAGAGAGAGTAATTAAGCATAAATTATGACATCATATTAATATTTCTCAAAATCAATTTGAATTCAGAGTAGATCTACTATGGAAGCTTATATGAAAGCTAACATTTGTTGAGAGGTTTGATGAAAAGTACAGAGAAAATAAGGAGGATTTATGTATGATATTTATTGATTTAGAAAAAGAATATGATAAAGTTTCAAAGGAGGTGCCCTAGAGAGTTCTAGAAAAGGAATAAGTTAATAATACTTATATTCAAGTCAATAAGGATATGTATATAGGAGTTGTTACTTGTGTTCAAACACAGGGTGTTTTAACCAAATATTTTTCCTATTTCAGTTGGTTTACCTAAAGGATCACCTTTAAGCACATCATTTTTCTTTAGTTATAAATGTTCTTACTAGACATTTGCAGAGGCTATACATTGGTGCATGCGTTTTGCTAAAGATATTCTTCTTGTTGATAAGACTTGAGGAGTTGATGAAAAACTTGAATTATGGAGGTCAACATTAAAGTTTAAAGGTTTTCGTGTGAGTAGACCTAAAATCGAATACATATAGTGTAATTTTAGTAATAATAGATCTAACGAAGGGATTGTGACATTCGATGACAAAGTCATTAAAAAGAGACCATGTTTTAGATATCTCAGGTATGGTGTTCAAAGCGGTCATGAAATAAATTGAGATATTATTAGTACCATTAAAGTTAGATGGTTGAAGCAGAGGAATGCATCGAGCCTGTTGTGTGATAGAAAAGTACCTAGCAAACTTAAGAGAAATTTTTATAAGATGGCGGTGAGATCTGCAATGCTTTATGGTGTAGAATATTAACCATTAAAAGAGAAGTATAAATTTAAGTGTTACAAAGATAAGGATACTCGGGTAAATGAATGGGTAAGAACTTAGAGACAAAATGTAAAATGAGTATATACATATGAAAAGGTTGGAGTAGCTATAGTGACATATAAGATTAGAGAGAGCCGCTTTAGATGGTTTAGTAGCATTAAATTTCAGCCTTCCAATGGCCCTGTTAGAAGAGTAGATGAATTAGATCCAACCTCTGTCAAGAAACTTAAAATAGATCTAAAAAGACTTGGTTAAAAAATATTTAAAATGACCTATTTTTATTAGTTTTAAATAAGAATTTTACTCATAATATAACACAATGGAGAAAAAAGATTTATTAAGTCAACCACACGTAGTGGAATAAAGGCTTGTTATTGTTGTAGTATCTTCTACTATGATGCACCGACACTTCTCCTCAAAGAGGCGTGCAATGTCCGACACCGTATCTGACACGACACTCCTCCGACACGTGTCGGACACGTCGAAAACTTGTCCGATTAAAAAATATTAAATACAAATTGGACACGCGTGTCCGACAAGCATATCTTAAATATTTTATGAATTTTTTTCAAATATAATTTATTATATTTGACGGGATCAACGTTCGCACTTAAAACCCAATCATCGAATGATAGAATATTCTCATTTTCATTTCTTTTTGGCAATGAAGGTATTTTCATCTCCTCTCTCAGTGACTGATAAACAGCATTGACGTCTGACTCTCGACATCTTACTACTAATCATTTTAAACACAAATTCTAATTAAATGACTTATTATTTTTAAATTATTTTTAAAATTATACTCATTTAATTTTATACACTTTTTTTAAATATAAAAAACTATAGTACCGTGTCCAACCCATGTCTGTGTCCTATATTTTCAATAACTGATGTGTCTCGTATCCGTGTCATGTCGTATCTGTGTCGCCGTGTCCGTGTCTATGCATCAAAGATCTATTATTTGAAGGACATTCATAAGAAGACAATAGGACTATATTCATGCCCTACCAAGTTAAATTCGCACTTCTACTAAATCCAACAAAGTTTAAAATCAAGCTAGCATAATATTAATCAAGAAAAAACATTAATGAAAATATTGTCCAGAAGGACAGAAGAATTTTGATAGACCGGTCTCTATAACCGTCCAGACGATCCAGTCTGAACTGGCTTTATTCTACCAGAGGCACTTGTTCCGCCCTAATAGATGCCAGGGTGGGGTCCAATAGCAGAAAAGGGGTTTAGGAGGGAAATTTCAAAAGGAGGACCTTTTTTTAATTTCATTTATGATTGTATGCTTTTAGCAAAGTTTTTTCCTAGAATTAGAGATTTTTTTTTTTGCTGCATTTAGTTTTCTCTTTAGTTATTTGGGTTCTAGCCGACGGCTAGGGATTGGAAGAATCATATCTTCCTCTCAAATTGAAGATCCATTATATCGTGTTTGTTTTCTTCCCTGGTTCATCAATCATAAAGGTTTTCTTCCATGTTTGGCACGTTGTTCTTCGTAACTGTTGCTTTTATTTTTGATGAAATTCAACTTCCTTTTCTTGAATTTGCACAAGTGTTTCCTAACAAATTGGTATCAGAGCATCAATTCAGGGTATCTATGATCGAAAGAAAAGTAGAAGTATTGGAATGGGAGAACGGCCAATTAAGAACAAATTTTGTGAAACAATTTTCAAAGTTTGAAAATAAGTTTTCATCCGTTCATGAAAAGATAGATGGAAGGTTTGTCGTCGTGGAAGAAATGCCGAGTAAGTTTCTTGAGGCCCAACCCAAAACGACATCATCGGAGGCAAGGGGAGCCACTGGTGGACAAGGGAGTGGTGGAAACCCGAAATTTGGTGGAAATCCAAAAAAAGGAGGAGATGCTTAAAAGTTTAAATCAAGTTGCATTCAACAATAATAATAACATTAATTACATCATAGCATTATAAATAGCACATTGTTTAAATGTTTAAAATCTAAAACAACCGAAACAAAACTAAGAATTCTAATGAATTCATGAAATGAAAATATTAATAAATGAAAGTAAACAAACTCAACATTTTTTGATGAGGAAGTTAGGTTCGAAACTTATCAGATAATCATACATATCAGTACATTGACATGACTACTCTACATTGTATCCTAAGAAGTGAAGAGTGGTGGCACAATGTCACCCCCCTGTCCATTAGGAACTATCCCAGATGAAAGAACAACTTACCCTAAATGGGTCCAAATAATTATAACTAAAGCTCCCTGACTTAATAATACCAAGAATCAAAACCAACACCCTAACTTAGAATTACATTATCATAGCCAAGGCTCCATCACTTAAAAGGCCAACAATCACAAGAAGTTCATGACTTGATGCTTAGTAATCACATTCAAGGTTTTCTGACCATCTAGATTAGTGTCTTCTTGGTAAATCCCAAGATTGAAAAATTATAAGATGTTGATGGATTTTACCATCAACCTCATAAACATGTTTTCATGCATGGTGCAGTTATATAATGGTTTTATATTGAATGTTATTTAGATAAGAGGATTGTCAAAATAAAGAGTAAGATTGCAAATTTTTAAGCCAAAGTTCTCTCTAAATAAGAAGCAGCAATTAATAATGGGGTTCGTACACATATAAGCTTTAAACGTTAGAATAAATCAAACCTTCACCACAAGGCAAAAGCTAGTGATCTTATATTCAATCTGCTTTAAACGATAAAGATAAATATAAACACATGTGCGCACACATATATAAAGGCATTTAGCCATATGCAAATGAGTGGACACATAAAAACTTGTAGACAACCAAACACACCAACATGTGCATAAGCTCATAAAGTGCTTTTATCATAGACAAAATAAAAATGTATAAGAGCAAAACAAAAGTTTATCTACTTCAAACTTTGACAACATTAAATGACCATGTCAAAACAACAGTAAACAATGAATGGATGAACAAAATGGTCCCTAGAATTATCAGTTGTTTTTATTTTAATCCCAAACTTTTTCAGATGTAAAATTTAGTCTCTCAACTCCCCAAATTTATTAAAATTTGGTCTTATCATCAATTTTACCATTTCTTTGAGCGAGATATGATTAGGTAGCTTTAAACTTTTTATTATTAATCTCACTACTTAATGCTAGCTCAAACCAATGGGATTGACCCCAATAAATCCAAAATACCCCCTGAAAAGCTTCCCATTACTACTTTCTATCTAAATAAATGATAAAATTGATGATAGAGCTAAAATGGTTAAGATTTGATAGGTAGACAACTAAGGGTCAATTTGAGGTAATTATAGCTCTTTGTAAATGTAGCTATAAAATTGTTGGGGGAAAAGCAACTTTTTTTTTAATTATCGTGGGTATTATAAATATCTTCTTTTTGAAAACTTCAGAATGCAGGTTTTAAGCAGCTACCACACACTAACATATCTAATTATAAAAAGTAACTTTCAACACAAATTTTTTTAAAATGCAACAAAAAATAATAGCCAAATGGAAATATGATAGTAATTTGAAAAACTAAACAATGAGAAAGTTGCCCCAAACATACCCAAAATTAAACACCATAAAAAGTATGAGACTTTAAAACCTAAAAAATCTAAAGATCAATTTATTTATTTACTCAAATAATTAAAAAGAATAGATGACCAGTTACTTATTTCTTATTTGTATTTAAACAAAAAACACTTTTACTTGTAGAAAATGATTTATAATACAATATTAAATTATAATTTTCTTGTCCATGTATGAATCAGCAACAAGTTCATTGAGTTAGATAGCACCTGTTTTATAAATTTAAATTCAACGTTAGCATACCCAAACCGGCCACCCCCCCCCCCCCCCCCAAAAGTCTAATCACAAAACAAGTTCAGTTTCCAAATTATCTTCAAGTTGAACTGCTACTAAGTCCATATTAAAAATCATTTGTCATTTCAACCTTCCTAATTTTTACATGACATACATTATATTATTCCATTTTCGATCATACTGAACTTAGATTTGATAACATCTTTGTTGCCCAATACATGGGTCTGTTCATCATACTGATAGGAAATACTTGGGTTCGCAAGTAAACCTAACCGAAATCAATACCAAAACAAGAGAAAACTGCTGTTTTCAGCAGAAAAACAGCAAATCGCAGCAGTTTTAGTGGAGAAAACTCAAGGAAAATGGAGAAAAACAATATATTTCACTAGTAGATTCGAGAACACAAACAAAGATACAATTTCCTTCAATCCGAGAGGAAGGAATGACTCTCCAAATCTCTAGCCGTAGCCTAGAGCCCAAGAACACAAACCCTAGATCTCCCAACAAAATTCAAATGCAAGATAATCCCCCCTTTTCCTCCTAACCTCCTAATTAACCATAAAGGAGTTTTACAAAATGTCTAAACAGCCCCTCGCATTCAAAATTTCCCTCCCAAAATTCTTCCCTGGCCCCCGTCGACTTTGCTCCCTCCGCTCGGTTCCGCCTGTTGGCTGCGGTTCCGTCGCGAGAAGACCCGGACCGGTCCGGGTTGGACCGGTCCAACCGGCCCCTCCTGGGCCGGCGTAACACATACCAAGGTTCAAGATAACTTTACAAAGTCTACGTTTACTCTTATGGGTGGTACTACTTAGGCATTTCAATTAAACTTCTAGTTTTAACACTAGAAGCTGCGTCATCATTTATATACTTGTTCTTTTATATAATAGAAAGATAATTAAACCTATAGTAGCAGGTATCACTTTATTTTATAAAAATATTGACTATTAGTTATGAACTGGAAATGGCTCCATTACAATGAATTTAAATAACACATCAAATTAAAAAAATGTACTGCAGCTTCCATCATTTAATGTATCAATACACTGGAACCTTCCTATGTATTTCTAGGGCAATTGCATAAAGTATTATATTATTTTATAAAATGTAACACTTTCCAAAGCAGTGGGAACAAGCACTGTGCTTCACTTTATCGTCACAGTATGAAGCAAAGGTGATTCTAAATCAATCCTCAAACATTTCAATGTTCCCTCTTGATTCACTGAACAAAGAGGCCTAAGGTTACAATTGAACAGCTGTCCCAAAGCATTCAGTCAAACAAGGGTACAGAAGTCAAATGGCAATGCAGCGGGTTGCTCCCTGCGCAATGTAGCTTAGATTCAAAAACTCGAATGGAGAAAGAAAGCAGCACCAATGAATCTAGAGAAGGCTTGGCAAGAAATAAGTCCAGGTCATAGAAATTTTCTTAAAAAATGCAAACAGATTCAATGTCCTGGAATTTGGGAGCAGCGAATGAAGGGAAGTTCTTGTAAGAGACAGAAAACTAATTGGAAAGATCAACAACAACAACAACAAGCCTTTATCCCACTATGCAGATCAAGAAACCTAAAAAAAAAAGTTCAGGAACTCATACATATCACTAAGAGTAATAGATAAATGGGTACATTCACACTAGTTGGATCAGATTCAAAGCTAAAATAGGCATCGCCCTGTTTGAGGAGAAGAAAAACTCAGAAGAGCACCGTTGTCCTTTGGGCAAGTTTGTCGGAAAATTGCATGGTAAATGGATATATAAAAACATGCCCAGAGAAAGAATGGAGTGGTAGTGTGAAAGGGGGGTTACGGGTGATGGCACGGTGCCAGAAATAGAGAAATAGAGAGGGAGAGAGAGTGTTAGTGTGATGGACTAACCCACCACTCTATCAGATAGAAGTGCATGATTTAAATCCTAACAAGAATATAACATATCTTCATTCCATGAGATTGGCAATAGCACAGCATACCAAACTCTTCATATCCAATAAATGAGATTATAATTCGTTGGTTTCATCTCACTAATTGATTGTCTATCATGTTGCAAAGTATTTAATAACGGACAAACTGACGTTCAGATAGCAAATTTCAAGAATAAGACCTCTAGAGATGTCCATTTATATATCATGTACTCAACATTGCTCATGTTATTTACAAATGAAATTGTTTCAATAAATTAGACATTTTCTCAAAAAAGAAAAAAACTACAACAATTTATGAAATTTTTACAAGATAATACGTGAAGTATAGCTAGAAAAAAAAACAGCATATGATATCCAATTTTAACCAGAGTGAAATTGATAATTATCAATCATTATTATCTAATGGTAAATTGATATCTGGCTTGGATAAATTTAACTATCTTGAATCTGCCAATCATACAAAAAATGGGGATATGAGGGAATAATTTCAAGGGTAGGTTTGAGTAATTGAAATAGAGAAATCTGAATAGCAGAATGTAATTATAGAAAATGATGAGAAGTAGATAAAATTATAATTAGCCTTGGATATAAACAATTAATTAAGATGAATGTGTGGTAAAAATAAAATAAAATAAGTCAGAAATAAGAATAATAAAGAAATTAAAGTATAAAACATTAAAGAAAATGTAGCTAAAAATGGATTTGAGTGTTTTGAGCATGTAAAATGGAAGGTAAAAGATAGCCAATAAGGTGGCAGACGTGAAAGGATTAAAAAGAAAAATTTGACCAAAAGTGGCATGATAGAGATTGTGAGAAAGGATTTGTAAAAAATTAAATTAATACCACACATGCAATGCTCTATAAGAATAAATTAAAAAATATTGATTCTTAAAGTTGGTGCCAAACAATTTGGTTAAGATGAATGATGATAATGCACAAAGAAGTTTATAAACACCCCAGATAAGCTTACAATTTGCTCGATAATAATGAATTAGAAATTGTAACTCAAAAAGTTGGAGCCAAATACTTAGGATTAGGTTGATGATTATGATGATGCGTGCAAAAGGAAGAAGTTTATAAACAGCTCAAGTAAGCTTACAATTTATAATAAATGTAATTTACAAACTAGCTTTATAAAATGAAATGAGTTCAAGTAAATATTAAAAAAAAAAAAAAAGAATTACATATGTAAATATAAATCATTTTTTTTAAATTCTACTATAATTAACAAATTATAAATACAATCATCATAATCATTAGCCTTATCCCCAACTATTTAGGGTCAGGTTATTAATCATCATTCTTCATTCACTCATGTTGAGTAATATATGAGTTATCAAACATATTTTGCAAAAATCTCTTTTACAACATTTGTTAATGTACATGTATTTAAAAGAGATCATTAATAAATATACATATCTTCATCAGAATGCCCAATAACCAATTAACAATGGTTAGTCATCATCGCAATATTATTCAGCTATAAAATAGGCATATCCTTGTATCTGTTTACTAACTATTACCATTTAATGTACATAACAGTGAACTTTAAATAAGTATTTTTTAACAACTATACTGAAATAAATTATTATATCTATGCTATTTAGCATACATAACTATGTAACATCTTTCTGTAAGAAATTAATATGGATATGGAAAATATCTTTCTGTATATAGATATGGAAAACATCTTTCTGTATATAGATATGGAAAAGATCTTTCTGTATATAGATATGTAAAACTATATATAGATATGAAAAACATCTTTCTGTAAAAAATTAAACAAAAAAATAAAGCTTTTAAATATTCAAATCTTAGAAAAACATTTTCATATAAGTTACTCGATAATTGAAAGAAAAATATCATTCAAATGGTTTGCTCTTGGCTGTCCAGCATCTTTATTCAGCAGAAATATTAGTGGCAAAGCTGATGAAATTTGTTATTCTGCCACATAACACATACATTTAACTAAACTATAAAATTCTAAAGTGAATCTGAATTTTAATAAAAATATTACAAGAGTGTTAAACCTTCTTACTGAATGATGGTTGTTGAGTTTCTCGTCATTTGCATCGCACTCAGATTTAAAACTAGATATCCATGATGATCCTCTTCGAATATTAGGAGGTAAATTGGTTCCTCTAGTGTCATGAATAAAATCAGTTTGAAAGGAGACGCGTTTCCGCTTGTAAGTCAAAAGCACTTTGTCGCTTGACATGCTGCCTTAAGTACAGTTCTCTTCAAATTCTCGCACTTGATATTTACAGCTGCTTGGATCAAAAAAATATATAAGAGTTCAATGAGGCATGAAATTTACGAGCAAACTATATAAAGCTTCTTATATTATTGTAAACTTACACAATCACAGGAAATTGTCATTTTCTGTTCAAATAGAAGAGATTTCCATGGCTTCCTTGAACAATCACAGCGACTAGTTGAATGAGACAAATATCCTACCAAATATTTAAAGCAAATTAAATGATTATATAAAACACCTTTCTTCATGAAAAACATTCATGGGTTTTGATCTCTAGATATAATTATTCAAAATTCTTCTTAAATCCTTCTCTGCGTATTTCAAGTGCAGCTTCTACAAGTCCTACCAAGCCTTCTTTTAACAAAAGATTGGATTGACAAGCAAGAAGAAACCAGCCCAAACGATGGCAACTCATCTAATTGAAGAAAGATCATAATGATGAAAAATCAACAAGCCATCAAGTGTAAATCCTATTTTGTGTGGATCAACCGAGACCCACCTTTAATAGAAATCAGATACACGAGTAAACTAGTCCATAATGTAGAGAAACATTCTCTGATCAAAACAATTTCACCTTAATCGCATGCCTAATGCATAAGTAACAAGTTAACCAACGTTTTAGACTAGGGCTTACCTCTGAACCCAAATCCATTGTGGAAGAAGGAATGGCAACGAGAATGTACAGAAGGATAATGTCATCCTTATTCGCAATAGTTATTCCACGGAGAACCTCACCAGAAGATGCTAGCGAAAGGCGAGCGAGAAGAAAAAAGTGGATAAGAGAGAGCGGCGAGTAGAGAAAAGTAAAAAACAGAAACTCCCTTGCTTCTATTCACAATATCCCTCGCCGACCGCTTTCGAGAGATTTGAAAACGCCGTCACGTGTGATTCCTAACGCTAATGGTAGCCGACCGGCGAGGAAAATGTGAGGCGGATTGAAACAGTAGGTAGAGGAAAACGAATCTTCTTTGGTTCAATAACTTCCGCATCAGCGTCCACAATCCCGGCGGACTTCCTCCCCCGCAGGTCTGAAGCTTCACACCTCGACCTCGGCTCTCTCGCCGACTCTGCGTGGCCGGAGAGCGGAACCGAACGTCCGCTTCACAAAGAGACAATTTTAGAGTTGGTAAAGGCGTGTTCAGTGGAACTCCCATCAGTTGGCCACAAATTTCTATACGCGCTGTTGGGCTGATTAGAGATTGCGCGGTCATTTCGGGTCCTTCGCTTGGAAGCGGGCCTCAACCTATATACCGTTGGGCCAAACTCGGGTTGAGCCCAACATAGCAAGGATATATTGTTGTGATTTATGGCATTTTATCTAAACTTTTTAGTTTAAATAATACATACTAACCAATAATGTGATTATTCTTATGTCTTTTTCTTAGTTGCTAGAATATTTATGGAAATAGAAATATAATTGTATATCCTACTTTTATAAAAAAAATATCTTGCACATACAAATATAAAAAATAATATATAAATCAATTAAGACTTTACGTGAAAAAATAAATAAGGAAAAATGATGAAGACTAATTTGGATTAAATATTCATCAGATGTATAAGTAAAATTAAAGAGGTTCGTTCTTCCTCTTAATGTTCTCATATAATTATAATATAGCTTATTTGAGAAATAATTAAAGGTGATGATATAGATCTAATGAGGTTAATCAAGCACTAATTATTTAATAACAATAGTCGAATGATGGCGTTCAAACATTGGCAGATAGATGACGTTAAACAGTCAAACAATGCCAAACGGGTGAGGGTGGTCAAGCGACGGAACAATAGTTGCTAACAATGATCATTGGTATTGAATGTCACATAAAGTTCTAAAGTTATTCGTGTCTCCAAGCTATCAGTCCAAGAACATGTCTTCTTCACGTGAAAAATCATGTTTTAATTATGATTTTGTTTCGTGGAATTTTGCTAAATCCAGCCAAAATCCAAAACAATTCATTAGATAACCCATGTCGATACCCTTAGTTATAAATCACTCGTTCAAACTTTATGTACTTAAATGACTTTAGAAATGAATGCTCATAGGCTAACTGAAATGTTTGCTTTAACTATAAGCACACAAAAGGCGAAGATTATTTGGTCCTCAAATTACGATATTAAAAATTTCAATCATACTTCAAGTGCTTGATTTTGGTTAATTTGGACTTGAATCATTTCACTTTTAGTATCATTGAATTTGTGTTATTGACGCATTCAACTAAACTCTAAGTTTACTGAAATTAGACTTTGAATGATTCTAAATTTAATTATGAAATTTTCTAATTCAAATTTTACATTAAGATTCATTCATGGTCGAATGAAATGTTTGGATGATGTATGATTTACTTTCTTATTTTCGGACTTCAAAGTCTATATTGTCCAAAAATATGCAATGGCATGAAGTTAAGCTTTTGAAAATATTACAAGGCATGATTACTCCCTAAACATCAACATAGACCCTTCTAAAATATAACTTCGGCCTTCCATGAACTTGGTGTATTGGTTGAAATAAAAATAATTAAAAATTTAGACACAAAATTAATCAAATTTGTTCTAAAATAATTATAAATGCTCTACTAGATTTGCGAGTGCCAAAGTTGAAAGCCAAACATTAAAAAATGGTCCTCAAAATCTTAAAAATGCAAGAAATTCTTGAATATTGGGTGCTTCTTTTTAATTAAAATAACCCTTTGCTATAATCTATAATGACTCATTCTTCTCATTATTATTTTCTCTTTTTTTTAATGTTTCTAATTTCCGAGATTTTCAACTTATTTTGGATAAAAAAAGGATAATTAACCATATTTGCGGTTACCGCAAGTCTCCACCCAAACCTCAAACATAAACGTATTTTGTTTGTTCTGTCTGATATGAGCAGTGCGACGCCATCGCACAGTTCAAAATGTGAAAACGGTGTTCAATTTGTTGTTCAATTGGACGATCGCAGCTACTGCAAACCGTAGAATGCCATTCGATTAGAGATGGCCTAATTACTCATAAATTAAAGCACAATTTTGTATAGAATATAAAGATAAAATTTCTCCTTAATAATTACATTGACATGTTGCAATTTTAACAGCTCTAAAGTAGTCTAAATTGCTTATAAACAGACATCAACAATGAGAAAAAGAAATGCCCAAACTTGGGAATTATTCTTCCTTTTCTGTAAGCTATTTCAAAAGCATCTGAAAATCTTCAGCTTTTATAAGATTTGTTTATCAGGTTTAAGCAGATATCATTTCATCTTTGTGGTCACCTTCAAGAGAAGAGTCCAGCGGTTGCTCACCATTTATTTGTATCACCTTCTTTTCCAGGGATGGAATAATAGGAGGCCTAAATCTGCGAGTGACTGTCATTTTTAAGCCCTCAGTAGTGTGGATGGTTGCACCAGTTGTCATTTCAACCTATAATGTTTGGTGCATTGCTTTGTTAACAAAATTTTTTTTGAAGATAAAATAGATTTACATTAGGCATGGTTTTAGGGTTTAGGGAGGAAGAGGGCGGCCATACCGAAGGTGCTCCTGGTGCCATTTCAAAGTTGAATCGTCTTACCAGCATCGCTGTCGCCACCACGGTCTGAAACAAAACAAACCATTTTATCATCCTCTAAGGTTTCGTTTGGAACGGTTTTCTTATCGCTTTTTAAAGCAGCTTTCTAGTAAAAAATTGTATTAAATTGTTTTGAGATGCAGTGAGAAAGCTGTCCCAAATGAAGCCTAAGAGTGCCAAAAAAGCTCGCTGTTCAGGTATAACTCGTATTTGGATCGCTAAGAAGCTCTGAATAAGTGAGCCTAACTTTAACATATATTTTTACTTCATTTACTTGAGAAGAACAAATAAAATTATGCTTTACAATGTTTGGCTCATTAACTGTTTTGAATAGATTATACAATTATCTATTGTTATCATACTTATATTTCACAAATGGTTGAGATCTCAGCGCCACACACGAGCCTAACGAGTTTAAAATGAACCAAACTAGAGCATTGAGTCTTCCAACATAATCCAACGGTAAACAAGCTTGAACAGAATATAAAACAAATGAGCGGAGCTCGACAGAGGTCAAGCTCACTGAAACTCAGCACATTTCCACCTCTACCTCAACCAAGAAGGTTTTAGCTGGTTGAGTTTATTTACTCTCCCTAGTAATGCTAGGCGCCTAGCTATAGAGAAATTATTCTGTGCAGATACCGGACTGTCCGGAGGCGAATCAGAGCGTGCCACATCACCTGATACACAGCAAAAGGATGACGTGGAGCGCTCTCATTCGACTTCAGACGGCATCCGTATCCACACAGAATAATTTCACCTAGCTATATCAGTATCTAAACCTAATGTGCTTAATCACTACAAATTGGATAGATTAGCAGGTTAATCCATTACAAATGCATCCTCTTAATAAGTTAAATTATGGAAGATATTTCAAAGTGGACGAGTTGAATTAATCTCGATATTAACTCATCCTATTATGTTAGAATGCTGGTTGAAAAAATTGTTAAACACACTAATTGATCATACTTTTTTTTTTTTACTAATTGATCATACTTGTTTGTATGTAATGCACTAATGCCTAATCCACTCACAATTATTTTTTATCCAATTGACCTATAAAAGCTCTTAGAAAATTTGATCCATCAGTCAATGCCTTTGTCATATAAGCTATGCTAAGTGCATTAAGGGCTCCCTCAATTTGAGGTTTTAGATGGGTTGATTTATTTATCATTTTGTCCTGAACCATACAATATAGAGTTTTTTTTTCTGTACCATACATTCATACAATATAGAGTTATTTGAACTATTCATAAAGCTCATAATCTCCATATTATAACGGAAGCAACTTTTTCATTGCTCATGCCCATTGATTAAAACAAAATGCAAAGCATTACCTCAAATGTTGCAAACATATCTCCAACGCATTTCCTTGGCCCTCCACCAAATGGCAGGTAGCTGAAAATACAGCATCAGTATGTGTCATTAGCTTAAATACTCTTTCATCAGTAATCATTTTGAAGGATTTCAAACATTCCAAGTGAAATTAAAAAAAAAAAAGTATTAACATCATGTTTTGCAAAATAGTACACTATTTATTAATCACTAGCTCTGTGCCTAGCTATGGTCCCATTTGAATAGAGTTTTATTTTATAAATCCATTTTGAGCCCAACACATTTTGTCATAGAGACGGTGATGTAGAACAAAGTACTTGATTAAATATGTAATGTTGAAAATGCACTGTCTTCTGAGTTAAAGCAATAATAATTATGTCTACTTCTAGTGCTTTAAACAAAGGTTAGAATATTAGAAAGATGATTAAAGCTTAGGCCAAACTACATGTAAGAGTTTAGAATCATAAATAATCAATTTTAATCAAGATTAGCATAGCATGGGGGAATTTTAATAGAAATCTCTAAGTTAATAATAAGATTATGCTATATTAGAGTCTACTCACTCACACTCTTGATGTAGGATAAACGGAGATAGGTTGCACAACCCCTTATGACGCCACAAATTAACGAGAAGATTTGGAAAAGTAAAAGATTTGGAGGAGAAATTCACCTTGATCAAGATTTAAAAATGATCTGCCACTGGACGAAAGATAGTTGTTCGTTAATAGCGGCAGCAAGGGTAAAGACAATCATTTCAACATACTACGGTTTGATCAATCTTCAAGTTGAGGTCGAAGAACGGTGATTTGATGATATCAACTTGACCTTGATTGCTGTAAACAAACTCATGGTCTTGTTCAGAATCCGTCATACATGAAGGAACAACAGACTTTAAGGTACTAGAGCATCTGGACAGCAAACGGTGTCGTTCCGGAGGGCTGGACAGCAAAATCCTTGCTGAAAAGTTCAGGACAGCAGGCCTAGAGATGTCCCGAAATCTAGACAGCAACTGTGTGGATGCAAAAAGCTCTTGGACAGCAAGAAGTGGACTACATAAGTGCAGGACAGCAAGAAGATCTTGCTGAAATTTCTGGACAGCAGGAGGAAATCTTCAAGCAAAAGTTCTGGACAGCAATTTGTTTATTGCAGAAATCTGGACAGCAAACTTCGGTGCAGTGGGATTATTTAGGGAGGGAGAGGGATACGGAAATAAGGATCAGATTTTAGGGGAAAAGGAGGGAGGGATTTAATTTTAGTTTTGAATTTGAATTAGGAGCACTAGATGCAAGCAATTAAGGGAGGAGAGAGGGTAGGCCGGCGGGTAAGAGGTGCGGAGATGATGGAGGAGGATTTAATGAGTTTTCAAACTTGGATAAATAAAGAAGGAAAGGAAAATCATGAGAGATCTCTAATGAGATTTGATTGTGAGGATAAAAGGAAAGTTTCCTAACATAAGTTCTCTTATTTTAGGAAAGGATTTCAAAGTCAAATTAATTTAAATTTGAATTTTGAAAACTTTCCTAATTTAAAATTTATCATGAATGGAAAGTGTTAAATGGAGGAATTGAATTTTGGAGGCAAAGGGGATTGGGAACCGGCGGTTTGGGGTTAGGGTTAGGATGGCCGGCGGAAAGAATTAGGGTTAGGGTTAGGTGGCGGTGGGGTTTGGAGTTGGCTTAGCTGATGGTTAGGGATGGGAGCTTTAGGTGACCGGCGGCTATGGAGGAGGTGTGGCCGGCGGTTAATGGAGGAGGAGGGGGATTTAGATAAAAGAAAATGAACCACGAGCCCAGATGCTTCCTGCGGCTGGTGGGTGATCCGTCGCCCTTCCCTAGGGTTCTTACCAAAACTCTCTCTCAAACACCCAAGTGACAATTGCTGAATTTTTCATTATAATCTTCATTACCCACTCCAAAGAGGAGGGGATATAAATAGCTAAAGTTTACAATGAAGAAATAAAAGACACAAATGTGCCACAAACAACTAATCCATCAAATGAGAATAGAAACGGAAAAAATGCATAACCAAATCAAACACATATATTAACTCAAAAATAAATCAGTGCAATCGTCGTGGCCGTAGATCTTCGGCCCCGCCTCTGATAAACTCTCCAAGGTCGGATATCCTCATCAGACGGTGGAAGTAAAAACCCAGGAACCCTGAACTTGAAGAGTTTCAAACTCTTCAGACATGGCTTAACACGAACCTTGATAGCTTTTGATAACAAGTTGGATCAAAATTGGTGATGCAATGGGTCATGCTCACAATGTATTTTTTTTAAGATTACTAGCATAAAGTCTCGTTACCATTGGGTGAGAGCAGGTATTTGTTTGAGATGGAGGTGAATATATGAAATGCTAAGAAGGTAACGAATTTTCTAGGGAAACTGTGGTTGGGTAGAATATTATTGGGAGACTTAGAGCAGCTGATTGAGAAGACCTGGAGGAATGTGATAGAAAATACTTGAGTTCGCAAGTATCCCTAAGGTAATACTTGAGTTCGCAAGCAACCCTAGTCAAAATCAGCCCAAAACAGTGAGCAAAACTGCTGTCCCAGCAGTTTTACAGCAGCTCCGCAGCAGGAAATGCACCCAAACAGAGAAAAATAAGGAAAAGAAACAAGGTTTCCACTAGTAGATGCAAGAAAACAAAGAAAGATACAACGTCCTTCGATTCGAGAGGAAGAACAACTCTCCACAAGTCTCTAGCAAACCCTAGAGCCCAAGCACACAATGAGATCTCAAACTTTTCATTCAAATTCAAGATGATGGCCTAATTCCCCCCTTTCCCCCCTCTTTAACTCTCATCCCCATACAAAATCCCTAAACAGCCCTTCTATTCAAATTTCCCCCCCTTTCCATTCAAATTTTCCTTCCAACCCTTGAATTAACTCCATGTGGGGCCCGCCTAGAGTAAGTAAGGATCGGAGGGGCCCGCCTAACAGAATGCTCAGGTTGATGCATCGAAATAGGTTCAAACTGCCGAGAGGGAGGTGGAAAAATGCAAATTGAAACAAGGATTAATGGTGGATGATATGGCTGAGTAATGGAGGAATTAACTGAGTAAAAAGGAAAGATGCTCTCTTGAAATTGAACATGGCGTGATACAATATATTTGTTTCTTTGAAGATTGTAACATCTATATCCTTCATAATTGAAAGCATAACCAAAGAATACACATGTAGTGGATTTTCGTTCAAATTTATGCTTTGAAGCAATGAATAACTACAGATAACATAAGCACACGAAAATTTTAAGATGATTATAGTTAGGAACTTTACTATAGAGTATCTGATAAAGAGAACATATATTGTTTGTCAAGGAAGGCCAACGATTAATAAGATAAAGTGTTGTTAAGAGAATATAAACAGATAATTTGAAAGGAATTTTAGCATCAAGCATCATGGTACGTAGGGTTTCAATTATATGGTGATGCTTATGTTGAACAACGCCATTTTGATCATGTGTGTAAGGACAACTTAATTGATGAACAATTCTAGAATTATGCATTATAGTCTGAAGGCTTGTATTAATATACTCCTCAACATCATTAGCGCAAAAAATTTTAATGGATTCATTAAAGTGACATTCAACCAAAGCTTTGAATCGTAAAATTTAGAGATTGTTTCAGATTTTGTTCGCACGGGACAAACCCAATTATAAAGAGAGAAATCATTCACAAATAAAATATAATATTTATATTCTTGCATGGACAAAATTTGGGAAGGAACCCATATATACATCAATATCTATCAATTCCAAAGGTTCATTACTACGATAAGTACAACTAGAGAGATAATTTGTGACTCTTTGCACATACACAAGATTCACAATGAGAATTTTTTAGAGAAGTTGAGCTGAAGTTTACTGTTGTATATAGAAAATAGCATGTACAAGTACCCCACGTAGTGGGACAAAAGATTGATGTTGTTGTTGTTGTTGGCATTTGGTTGGACGTAATTCAAAACAACTGAAGGTTTTAAAATCTACAAAGACTTTCAAAATCCCTCAAAGCTAATGATTTGATTTTCACAAAGAAAATGAGTGAAAGCCAAATAATTTTCTAAATAATATATTATATCTAGAAACAAACAATTGAGCCATAAGAGAAGGTTGAGAGAACAAGAATTACAGAAGGAAATGTAATATTACCATGTAGCTTCTTGTTCAAACTACACTGCATACCCAATGACAAATATGTTCATATGAAGAATTTTAAATACAGGCTAAAACTAACGAAATTAAATGCTGGATCTAAAAAGATAAATAAGACAAGATTTCAACCTAAAATTCTGATTCACTTCATTTGGATTTGGCCCATCAATAGGCCATCTTTCAGGATTGAAACTTTCAGCATCCACCCAATGCATCGGAGAACGATGGATGTTCCATACGGAAATAAATATATCTTCACCTCTGCCATTCAAATCAAAACAAACGCAAAGCTGTAATTACGGATTTTCAACAGGAAAGACCATAGGAAGAATAAAGCATAGCCAATAGAATTGCTTTCATGGTTCCAGAGTATGCATGAATCAATCTCCTTTAAAATAGCCTCATTAGCAGTTATATTTTTTGGGTCATGACTGCATAGCAGGCCAAAAACGAGCAACTGAAGAAATGTTATTGCCTATTGCATATACTAAGAAGAAAGTTAATCAAACATGATAAAAAGGAAATCTATAGTTATTAAATCTTTATTAGTCATGGGTTTTATGAACCTAGCTAATTTAGAATATAAGATCACAGTATTATGAAAGTAGACGTTAACACTTACCTGTATATTAACACTTTTGAACAGTTGTCAGTGGGAAATGACCGATTAAGTTATAATCAAACTTCATTTTCATTATCACATTACTTTGCTGTTCCAAGAATGCTTTCCTAAATTCAGATCGAAACTCCATCATCAAATGAAAGTAAGGCTTCAACAACATCCAGCCACTACATAATTTTTACTCCCCAAAAAATATAAAAAAGGACTTAATTGTGCCACTTAGGCTTCAGAGCTCATGCCTAGTCAACAACATCAAGCCTTTGTCCCACTACATGGGGTCAGCTACATGAATCATTTTTCGTCATTGTGTCATGTTAAAAGTCAAATTCTCATTTAAATCTAATAAAGAAAGATCATTTCTAATATTTTCTAGCCAAGTCTTTTTAGTTCTACCTCTACCTTTCCTAACATAAGACAAATCTAATACCTCAACTTTTCTAACCGACCGTTTAATGTGACCAAACCATCTAAGGCGACTCTCTCTAATCTTAGCTTCCACTGGAGCTACTCCAACCTTTTCACGTATATGCTCATTTCGTATCCTATCTCTAAGAGTAAAGCCGCTCATCCACCTGAGCATCCTCATCTCTGCAACACTTAACTTAGTATTATGCTTCTCTTTTAATTGCCAACATTCAGCACCATAAAGCATTGCATGTCTCACCACCATCTTATAGAATTTTCCCTTAAGTTTGAGGGGGATTTTTCTATCACACAATAAGACCGATGCATTCCTCCACTTCAACCATCCAACTTGAATTCTATTGATAATATCCCCATCTATTTCACCATCACTCTATAGAATCCAAAAAATTTCGGTATATTTTTTTAGCCTATCTTACTTTTATGAATTTGCTTTCATCATTTAGTATTCTTGATAACTATGTTCACGCAGTACACAGCTTGAAGGAATGGACATAATTAGAATAGTTCTAAAGACAAAATATTATTTTGGAAGCCAAGTTCCCAGACCAAGGGAGTTATACCATCGATGTGCCAAGAGAATCTATAAGTTGACAATTATATAGGTCCCACCGAAATTAACAAGCTCTCTTAGAAACCAGCTAAGGAATGACTAAATTCTTGGCAACAAGACAACCATCCAACAAGTCCGGTTGGAACTACTAAACAAGGTTGAAAGAACAAAAGACAAAAATAGGCAAGTCAAGCATAAATATATAAGTTTATCTCAAAACAGCAAAAAAGAAGGAAAAAAAGAAAATAAAGTAAGCCAGATTTGATGCAACCTTTCCAAAAAAATAATTTCTTAAAAAGAAGAGAACCACTACCGTTTGATAGGATATTTCCCAAGTTGATCAGCCTCAATAGAACGCCTAATCAGCACAGGCGGCTGTGGATATAGTCTCAAAGACTGCAAGGATAGTTGCAAATGATCAATAAACTGAATTTCACATGTGAATGAATTACACGTTGATCTATGACCGTCATTCTCATGCAAGAAACGATAAGATCTTACTTCATTAATAACACGAGTGGTGTACTTCAACTTTGTCATGTCTTCAATAGTTGGAAAGCGATCCCCCAAAACAGAATCAACCTAAGCGTCGGGGCCAAATAGAATACGAAAAATAAGTGGGTGGATGCCAATCTCAAACCTTCTTAATTAAAATGCTTGAAGCACCGACCTCTTCTTGGAGCTTGGCCACAACCTTAGGTTCCTGAAAAATAAAAACAGTTCCATCAATCATTCACAGGTGATGACCATACAAGAGCAAACATGATGTGAAACGTCCTTGCAAGGATGATTAACTTAAGGAGTTTGCACGCTTAATGTTAGAAGCCATAATAATCATATCTTCACAATGAATGCTCTAACGACAAAAGAAAGCACTATGAGTGGTAAAATAAGCTTAGGCCGAATCACGAGCGTAAAAGCTAAGATCATAAAACAATCACATTAATCTGATGTTGCATACATGGATGATTTTCAACAAGAGATCCCTAGATTAACAATAAGATTAGCCACAATGTAAAGATCCCTCACTTCACTCTCTAGCTTACTAAGTTTTTTTAGCGGAGAATAATTAACATGATCTTCATGGATCCAAAATAACCATAAGAGAGAAGTGGACTAGGAAAATAAGGGATTTGATGGGAGAGTTTACCTAATAGGAAGACAAGAAAGACCTCTTAATTGTTGTTGGATAGCAGCCGACTCTTCTCTAGTGCACTGGACAACCTAATACTTTGCTGAAATGTTCTGTATTGCAAGCCAAATTCTTGGACAGCACCCACGGAAGTTTGGACAGCAGGTTTTGGGTCTTGGAAGTTCTAGACAGCAACTGGTAGGCTTCTAGATGGCAGCTTTCAAGGCTCCAATACTCAGGATAATATGTGGCGCCTGTCCAAGAATCTGGACAGCAAACTGGGCTGGTTCTTTGGGCCGCAAGCAGAGATCTTTGGTCAGCTGGACAGCAACTCAGGCTTCGGAATTCTGCTGGACAGCAAGGGGACAAGAAGGAATAGTTTGGAAAGCCTCCAAACAATGACCAGAAAAATCTGGACAGCAGCTCCCTATGTTCGACAGAAATTTGGACAGCTTTGATAGGGTGTTGGGAGCCTTTGGACAGCAATCTCTGGCCTTCAGCAGTGCATGATAGTAACCCAATATGGCTGGAATATGGGGACGATTGAATTCAAATTAATAAACCTTCCTAATTGGGAGGATTATTTTAGGAAAGTATTTATGGGCTTAGAATTTTGAATTTCAAATTCCATGGGAGAGGGAGAGGTGGCCGGCGGCATGGGGGTGGAGATGGGGACGGGCCATGGTGGAGATGGTGGTTTTGGGAGGGGTGGCCGGCGACTGGGTAGGCCAAGGCAGCCGGCGGGTTGGGGAGAACAGGGGCTTCAGGTGGAGGAATTTAGGAGAGAATTTGGGTGGTGAGAATGGTCGGCGATGGAAGCTATGGACGTAGACGGATGGAGAGGGAATTCGATGCAAGAAGAAAAATGAAAGAAAAAGAAGATGAGAGAACCGCGAACCTTGGAATCCACCAAGATTGACGGGTATTGCTTTTGTCCCACTTGGGCCTCTCTTCTCACAAACTCACTAAGAGATCATTCCAAGAGAGAAAACTTAGAACTCACAAAGAGATCCATAAGCACAAATTGAAAATTTCATATCAATATTCATCATCCCAAAATACAAAACAATTAGCCTATAAATAGTCCTCATGAAAAGAAAAGAAATAAAAGACTAAAATGTCCTTCGAGCTACAATACTACATGACCACCCGTAAGGGTATAAAGGGAAAAACAATAATATGAAATAAACTAGTACATATAAATAAATAACTCAAGATCGTAGCCGTTGATCTTCGATGTCCTCATCAAAACATTTTATTGATGAGAACCTCAGCAAGAAACATTATTCAAATATATTCTCCTACTTCTGGAAGATGTAGATTTTACCCTTATATTTGATAACATTTTGTACACATGAAATCCAGCTCATTATTGAAGACAATCAATATCATTGTTCGATACTTGCTAAGATGGCACAAGGTTGATAAACTTGCTAGTTTGCTGTTGTCTACTGAACAGCATAATTGGAGATCACGGTGGGCCATTGATGCCTTGATTTGCTTAGAAGGGAAGAATATATAGTAAAGGAAGAACCACAAGGTAAAAAAAAGAGGAGTTTAAGAAGAAGAGAAGAGCGAATGCATCAATGGAAAGGCATGAGGTATTTAAAGAGCTAGAAACGTAGGCATGAATCCCAGTAGAGGGTTATACAACTAGGGGAAAGTAGTCGGCAAGAAGAGAGGATCATGCGAGAAGTTACGATCACCAATGCATGCCTTTGCACGCATCTTTCTAGACTCAGTGAGAAGATTATATTATGCTTTTTTTGCACAGGAAATTCCACCCAAAAAAATATCATACATATCTTGTTTGGAGTAATGGACATTAAGATAACTCGTTTGGATGCTCCGCGCACCACTCATATATGCTTTCTAATTTTGGAACATAATTAGACAAGAAAAATTAAATAAAATTGATGAAAAGTATAAAAATGTGATAAAATGAAAACTCAAAGCCTTTACACATTTTGCATAGTACTATGCGTGCAAAAGCAAGCATTCATCATTGTTGGGAATGACAAAAGCACATAGCCTAGTGGGCAAGAATCCTATAGAAAAAAATCCTTTACATGCCTGCGAATGCTAAAATGCATGTTTGTCCCCTAAAAATAGCTATCCACTTCCTCTATAGGTTAGTCGCATGGGTTATGAGCAACACCAAAGGATCAAGCAACAATGTAGTATATTGAGCAAGGTTGCCTTCTTCGATAAAGCTGTGATCTAAATATCCAGAGGAATGGTGGCTCGAGCCCACATTAACCCCCACCATAAACTTTATAATAATGAGATAAAATCCCTGAACAAACTAGCAACAATATCAAACTATCTCATCTATCCCCATCCACAGAGGATTGTCTACAAAAAAAAAGATATTCATTGGGCTGAATGCACTATTCATAAGGATGGCCAAATATCAATAGTCTCCTCAAATCCTCAAATCCCATCAAATAAGTTGTTGATAAGTATCATTCTACTCATTTTAAGCTTTTGAATAATACATGCTTATTTATAAATATAGGAGCGAGTCATAAAAGAACTCAGTGAGTAAATCATAATTATAAAATACAGTAATACAAGGCATTAGAAATAATATGTATGCTCATTAGAAATAATATGCATGCCCATTTTTTAATGAGATCATCAATGCAATTTATATTTGTATCACATATTTTATATCTTTTATCATTTATATATATAATACAACCGTCACAGGAGACATCATTTAAAATAGTAGCAAGGAAGGTACCCATTTTTCATTTCTTTTTCCATAACCTTTTTTTCATTTACGTGCAATGGTACATTGGATCCCTAGCCAGTGCCATAAGGGAATGTGCTACATCATTCAACATGCACATGCAAGTAAATATATAGCCATTTCATTCATAAAGCATTCATTTACTTTCTATGATAATGTGAAACACAACATAGTAATTTTATTATATTCAAAATGATCAATCATTGGGTATGAGAAAGACAAAACATGATCTAGCTAGCAATAAAGATTTAATAAGCATGTATTATCTTTCAAAACATTTAATTGAAAAGAAAACAAAGTATTACTATAATAAAAGAAACATGAGTACCGTCCTTGACTCTGGGTATCGCCCCTTTACTCTTGCTCCTTACTTTGACATTGATAGATTTAATGCTTATATAAAGGTCTTGTCGTTAAAATTTAATTGATAAATTTCTCTTAATTTCTCTAACTTGTGCATTTATAATTAATTAGTGTAATTTAAATTTCAAATTAAAATCTCAAATATTATTGATTACAATTGCATTCATTTACTTTCTATAATAATGTAAAACACAACATATTAATTTCATTAGATTCAAAATAATCAATCATTAGGTATGAGAAAGACAAAACATGATATAGCTATGTATTATCTTTCAAAGTATTTAATTGAAGAGAAAACAAAGTCATTAATGTATTAAAAGAAACATGAGTACTCACATTGACTCTAAGTATCGCCCCTTTACTCTTGCTCCTTACTCTGACATTGATTGATTTAATGCCTATATAAAGATCTCGTCATTAAAATTTAATTGATAAATTGCTCTTAATTTTTATAAATTAATTATTTATAATTAATTAGTGTAATTTAAATTTTAAATTAGAATCTCAAATATTATTGATTATAATTGCTCTCACTCTCTCAAATTAGTTATTGAACACGCATAAATAACTCTTTGAATTTAATTTATTAAATTACTGATAAAATTTATTCTCATCGCATTATCATTTAAATATGAATAAAATCATTATTTGATTATTATTAATTTCTAAAATAAACTTTCTATATTTAATTACCTTCTTTCTCTAATTAGCTAATTAAATATAATTTCAATTTTCTATATGAATTATCTTTAACTCATAAAGCATTTATTTTTCTAAATCTAATTTATAGGTTGACTAACTCCATTAGCAAAGTACGCCAAAATTCATGACAACTCAAAAAGATGAAAGTGTGATCTTGATCGAAATCATCATCCTCTATAACATTTGCTCTAAGGTGTTATCAACATACTCTCTCCTCTAATACAAATTATTTCTATTAAAAATATAGCATTGCAGATCTTATAGTCTAACCAAAATTAAAAAATCTCTCTCACAATCATAAGGGATAACTAAACATGTGGGCTTGCACTTTTAAGAAATTTACAGACAAATCATGAATTCCTCTAATAGGAACACTTGAAAATCACAAGAATTTCCTATCAATCTTTGGAAAACAGCAAAAATTCTCCACAAGAATCCACACAAAACTAGGAAAACAATACATAATTCATTAATTTGTATTATTTGATGAAATAGAAATAGAAAATACTAATATACAATTGATCCTCTCTTTGAGACAAGGATCTATCTCTCACAAATCTCTAGACGCCACTAGAGCCCAAAAACCTAAGGGATCTCAAATTTCAGTCAAATTCAAGATGACCTAACCCTAGAAAAACAAACTATTTAATGCATATAATCCAAAAAGAAATCACTAAATAGTCCCTACATTCAAATTTTACTCCTAAAATTTTACTAAAACCTTCCTAATACACTCCTTTGAACTGGG